ATGTATCTCTTGAGACATGATCTTAATATAAATTTTAGTGGTTTTGTGGACTTGAGAAAATGTGTAATGAGTGCTATGTGTGACATACATATGTTGTATTTACTTTCATAAGGACTATGCATGCTAGAATGAAAATATTTGATGTGATGTCTTTATATTTACTCTTGTGTGATATATCTTGTCATATGCATCACAATTTTACTTTGTCACACACACATGCACCCCACGGATGCAATGATTTAGGGGGAGTCTCCTATATGTTTTAGCATGTGCAATTGATATTTGAGGTCATTTTATGAATTCTAATCATAAGCACATATTAAGGGGGAGCCTCTCATAAATCATTGAACCCAAAAGCTTAAATGTTTATATTCTTTTGTAAGCTTTAATCAAGTTGTCATCAATCACTAAAAAGGGAAGATTGAAAGTGCATCTAGCCCTTCAGTGGGTTTTGGATGATTGAATGACAACGTGATTAAAGGTCTAACCCGTTTGCTAAGTGTGGATAGGTAATAGGTTATCTCATAGGTACTTAATGAAAGCCAAAATAATGTGTTGTTGTATAAACAATCTAGTTCAAGCACAAGACAACAATGCAAATAGAATTCATGCAAAGGCTTGTTTATTGTGGGATTTCCATGTACTATGTAAAAACAAGCTTGTGAGAATTAATTAATGAGACATAAGGGTTTGCATATGGAATGGTCTCATATTTGAAGCTTGCTAAAATTGAAATGAAAAAGATAACAATACATGAATAAATGATCCAACACAAGATGTGACTTGATGGCTTGAGATGATGAAGATAGCAAGGAAAGGCTTCGAGGTACTAAGCAAGGGTGAAGGGCAAGTGGCGGCTTGACAGCCGAAGAACCTAGCTAGGGTGAAGAAGGAAGTACTTGCATTTAGTTGAGGTACTAATCAAGCTATGATGGCCATGTTTATGTGAAGGATCAAATCACTGTTGGAGTGTTTGATGGAAGTGACTTGATACATTTGGGATTATTCAAATATGATGAATGGAATCAAGTCACGTGCTCAAGATGGCTATGCTCTAGTGAAAAAGATCAATATCAACATGTTGGCACCCTCACTTGATGAAGATTGGAATACACGGCTTCGGTTCAAAAAGAGCAACTCAAAAGGTTTTAATCCGTTATACTTTTAAATTTGAGTAAATAGGAATGCCGTACTATTAAGAGGGATGCATCATGTTGATAGATAATGTTTCATAAGTGCTCAAGCCAGCCCATGTGAGATTTGAATGTTTGAGAGACAAAAGAGCTAACTGACTTGTTGCTGGTCTGGCCATACCAGACATACCGGACGTGTCCGCTATTTGCCCAGTAACTGTAAAAGTGTTGTTCTCGGGTTGGTTCATAGGAAGTTCCGACGCATGTCGGGAGTTCCGACGGTCGGAAGTTCCGGCAATGGTTGGGAGTTTCGACGACTCGCAATTTAAATAATTTGGAGTGTTCACTGTGGTGGTCATACCGGACGTGTCCGGTATGGATGACCAGAGGCCAACGGCTACTTTTCAAATGCCGTGAGGGTCGGGAGTTCCGACGGTCGGAAGTTCCGACATACGTCGAGAGTTCCGACACCTCACACACTTTAACTCAGTTCTGATGTTTTCAAATGTGCTGAGGATCGGGAGTTCCGACGTAAGTTGGGAGTTCCGACGGTCGGAAGTCCCGGCATTCACCGGGAGTTCCGATGCCTCACAAATTCATTGTAACTTAGTTACCGTTGGTGCAGTGTAAGTCATACCGGACGTGTCCGGTATTGCGACGGCTATAAAACGGCTAGTTTTTCCAAGGGGGCTATAAATACCCCCAAGCCTCCACCTTTGGAGGCTACTGATTCTGCTGATATACATACACGTTTTTGAGCCTTGCCAACTCTCCCAACCCTCTCTTAGTGAGTGATTGATCAAACTTGCCAAATCAATTTATGGGTTAAGAGAGAATTTGAAAAAGAGAGCAAGCCACCACTTGAGCACTTGTGCATATTGTCAATCTCGTGATTCGCATTTGTTACTCTTGGACTCTTCGGTCCTAGACGGCTAGGCGTCGTCGGAGAGCAACCGAGAGATTGTGGTTGCTTCGGAAGTTTGTAACGGTCGATTCCGCCGCCTCGGAATCAATTAGTGGAAGGAGGAAAAGGAGTTGGAAAAGACTTCGGCTAGAGTGACCTTCGTGGTAACCTCTAGGGCTGACCTTCGCTGGGTCGCCCGCAGCCTCCTCAACGGAGAGTAGGACTCGAACGAGTCTGAACTTCAGTAAAACAAATACCGTGTCTCAATTCGCATTCCATTCGATATTTGTGTTGCTCTAGATCTTGTGCAGGTTCTCTGTGTATATTGTCATCTCCATTAGGTGCCTGTAGTTTGGTTTGAAGATAGAAATCGAAAGGAGCAAGTTCGGGGCCGATCTGCAGAAATCGTGTATACCGGACACGTCTGGTATTCATACCGGACACGTCCGATATTTCTTGCCTGCACTGAAAATATTTATTCTCTGTTCTAACTTGGTGTTGCAGGGTTGTAGCTTCTAGATATATTCTTTATACCTTGTTTACTCTGTGGCTAACTTGTGAGGGGTGGTAGTACTCTTAATTTGGAGTTTCCATTTTGGAAACTCCCCTTTCTAATTGTTTCCGCATTTAAAGGTGTTAATTTTCAGAAACGCCTATTCACCCCCCCTCTAGGCGATATCCTAGGTCCTTTCAATTGGTATCAGAGTAAGGTTCTCACCTAAAGCTTCACCACCGTGAGAAAAGGATGTCGACGCCTATCGAGTTGGAGCCGGTGCTTCTCCAAAATGATGGTTCAAACTTTCTATCTTGGTCAATTAATGTACTCAATGCTTTTAGGGATATTAGTCCTTTTGTTGAGCATATTGTGGATGCAAGCATACCTCTTCCTATAGTTGATTGGAGCAACTACAAAAATTTGTCAAAAGAAGAAGAGATATGTGTGCAACTCAATACTCAAGCTATTAATGTCATTTTGAGTACATTAAGTGTAGAGGTTCAAGATGAGGCAATCTTCAATGGACAACCACCTCCGGAGAGTGCTCATCTCATTTGGACTAGACTTTTTGATTTATATGGAAAATCCAAATGTGATGATGCACTTGAGATCGAGACAATGAAAAGTATGTCCATTGTGTCTTTATATAAGTGAAGAAGCCTCACAAGACCTCAAGAGCGCCGAGCCGAGCAAGAAGTGCAAGCAACAAGATGACTTTACTGGTCTGATCGCACATACCGGACGTGTCCGGTATGGCGAGGCAAAGCTTGACAAACAACAACTGCTTGCGCCGATGCTCAAGCCAGTGGCGACCAAGTGATGAGTCAATCTCAGTATCTCATGATACTCATCACTTGTGTCTCATGGCCAAGAAAAGCAAGAAGAAGAGTAACAAGAAAGATCAAGAAAAGGAGAAGGCACAAGTGGATGATCAAAATGAGAGTGATGTTGAAGTTGAAGACAACTACAACCTTGATCATCTCAACCACAAAGACAAGTTCATCATCATGAAGATAGTCGAAAAGAATGATGAGCTTGAAGAAGAGATTGAGAAGCAAGAGCAATCACTTCAAAAGCAAGAATTGTTTCTCATCTCTAAGATGGAAGAACTAAAGGCTCTAAATGAAATACCGTGTTTCAATTCGCATTCCATTCGATATTTGTGTTGCTCTAGATCTTGTGCAGGTTCTCTGTGTATATTGTCATCTCCATTAGGTGCCTGCAGTTTGGTTTGAAGATAGAAATCAAAAGGAGCAAGTTCGGGGCCGATCTGCAGAAATCGTGTATACCGGACACGTCTGGTATTCATACCGGACACGTCCGGTATTTCCTGTCTGCACTGAAAATATTTATTCTCTGTTCTAACTTGGTGTTGCAGGGTTGTAGCTTCTAGATATATTCTTTATACCTTGTTTACTCTGTGGCTAACTTGTGAGGGGTGGTAGTACTCTTAATTTGGAGTTTCCATTTTAGAAACTCCCCTTTCTAATTGTTTCCACATTTAAAGGTGTTAATTTTCAGAAACGCCTATTCACCCCCCTCTAGGCGACATCGTAGGTCCTTTCACCATCCAAACTTGCTCCTCGGCTGCAATACGCTGTTGATGAAAATACGACTCACATCGGTTAAGGAAGGCCAGCGGATCGGATTTCCCGTCGAACTTGGGGAAGTCCATCTTCTGGAACCGAGGTGGGCGGTCCCCATGGTGGTCACCGTGGCCCGAGCCTCGCGATCCTGAGCCGGAGAACGCCGGTGGCTGCACCTGCTGAAGAGCGGCGACCTGTTGTTGAAGGTCGCTGATGGTGGCGTTCATGGTGGTGGTGTGGGCCTGGATCATCTTGGCCAGGTCGGCGGTGGACGGCTCACCATTGGCAAGGATGTGGAGGCTGCTGAGGTGGTGGGTGAAGCAGGGGTTGATGGCGAGGTGGCTGCAGGGTTGGAGTGCGGGGCGGAGGTGGAAGAAGATCGCTGGCTAGCTGATACCAAGTTGTCAAGGCGTCAGTGCTCAAGGTAGCAGGCCCTTGACTACGAAGCTCGTAGCTTGGGTTGGTAATGGCGTGGGGTTTATCCCCTAGACGCCCTATGTTGAAGGGGATGAGATTAAGATGAAGGGGATGAGATTAAGAGCAGCAGAGGTAGATTAGGAGATAACTTGTTTCTTGATTGCCCTCTTATAAGCTGATTACAGGATATATATAGGACTGCCCAGCCCCTAGGCGCCACCACAAGCTCCTTGGTTCTCTCCCCATTAATCATCCTTAATCTCTCATTAATTCTATCCTTTCCCCAGACTACTAATTGTCATTAACTACAGTTGGTGCCCCCTTGGAGACTGCCCTGGCTGCGTCTCGAGCCTTGGAGCGCCTTTGATATTGGCGCCCCCACATGACAATTTCCACAAATGCTTTGATTGAAAGTAAACAATCAGGGTTCAATTGGAGCCACTAATTGTCTTAATATCCTCCAGGGGGTTGATATGCAGCTTGGACTAGCAATTGAGAACCCAAAGGCAACATTAGCAGTAAAACGACGCTTAGCTTGCGAGATGATCAAATGCTGGAAACATGTGTCAGTTCTCAGTCCTATCATCAGGCCTTAGCAATGCATAAATCTATTATTTCATACCACAATTTCCATTTCATTGTGCATTCAACTACGAAACAATCTTGTTCACTTATATATCTGAGCTATTGTTCAACAGGTTAAGGATAGCATCCCAGAGCTTCCTTTGTCAGATGGATGGGGGAGAAAACATGCTCTATTTGTAAAATGGAGATATGTTGAAGCGAAGGTGTGCACACAATCTTACTCTGTTTCTTTAATCATTTTCATTTCTAAATTGCATTTGCAATCATTGGTAAGCCACTTAAATTAATTTCCTGGACAGAGCACAAATATTTTCCCCAGTGTGTAAGTATCCTTGTCATTTTGTTTTTGTTTTTCCCCTTGCCAGGCTGTAGCATACTATTTCCACGGATTGATTCTTGATGAGGGGGAGACTGAAAAATCACAAGAGACGGCCATAGCTGCTCTGCAATCATCAGAAGAGTTTATCAATGAGAGCAAACGGGCTTATGAGGCCTTCCACACAGCTCCACCAACATCAAGGTGATTTGGCACCTCAAAGTCTATTCATTCCCTATGTTTGACCATCTAAATTTACCTGCCTCTAAGTCTAATACTGTGCCCTCTACATCCGTCACATGTTTAACAAAGATATAAACTCGATGGCCAGGCTGGGGTTAAAAAAATCCCCTCGTCTGTCCCACGGCCAAAGCACAGGTCAAAAAAGGCCCGGCCCGGTTCTCATAGGGCAACGGTGCCCCTGTGTCAGGGTGGGACAGGGGTTCGAGGGTTTTCTCGGCCTGTATGAGAAGGTCTTCTCTATTACAGCAATGCCCAGGGGGTGGTTTACCCCCTGCAAGTCGAGTTGGCCAAAGCACAGGTCAAAAAAGGCCCGGGCCGGTTCTCATAGGGCAACGGTGCCCCTGTGTCAGGGTGGGACAGGGGTTCGAGGGTTTTCTCGGCCTGTATGAGAAGGTCTTCTCTATTACAGCAATGCCCAGGGGGGTGGTTTACCCCCTGCAAGTCGAGTTTTTTTTTACTCTGCAGAAGTCCATCTGCTTTTGGAACCACCAAATATCTCTTGGACATGATACCAAAAGATGCAAAGAGCAAGTTCCAGAGCTACCAAGATCTGAACACACAAAAAGGGTAAGAATTAGAATCAAAGAAAGAGGTGAAGAAATAGCTGACACCATATATGCTAATTCTTCTTTTTTTGTTGCAAAAATTCAGAGCATCGATAAGAACTACTTTTTTTTTCTCCAAGTTTGACCACTCGTCTTATTCAAAAAATTTGTGCAAATATAGTCAAATTTAAGTCATTCTTGAAGAAATTTTATTAATAAACCAAACCACGACGAAAGAAGTGATATTTTACACAAATTTTTGAATAAGACGAGTGGTCAAACTTGATGTCAAAAAAATCAAACGTCTTACAATTTAGGATGGATTGAGTAGATTCAAAGAAAGAGGTGAAGAAATAGCTGACACCATATATGCTAATTCTGTTTTTTTTTTTTTTTGGTTGCGTAAATTCAGAGCGTTGAACATAGGAGTCAGCAAGATCACTGCAACACCGCCTCCATTGCCAGATTTTCCATTGGCTCTAAACCCCGAAGATTATGAGCTTCCTCATTCGGATCCATTGCAGAAGGGAGCTAACCATGGATAAAGTTCATTGCCAACCTCAAGCCTCTTCTGGAAACTCAAGATCAGCTGATGAAGAATAAACATTCGGAAGCGTTGCATAAGACTAATATTAAAAACAAAAGGTGATTTTGGAAAGAGGGAATGATCTTGTTACTGGTGACCGAGTAGCAAGACCCTGTTGTAACCTGAAGAGCATGTAAAGATAGAAGATCTTGCTAAAGATACCACTTTTTTAGAAGATCTCTTAGGCTAAATTTTAGAATAATTCTATATTGAGCATCTGATATATCCTTCATTCTGTGCTTAATCAAATAACAAGCTGGATTTCATTTGCACCTTCTGTAATATTTAATTTTCAGCCAAAAAATGACTGGATAAAGATCCATAGCTTGTTCAGTCTGAAAATATGACAAAAACCACTAAATTCCCTATACATGTACAAGACACAAAGACTTTAATGACAGTCACTATGGGGTCCTACAATAATACGAAATATGAGTGTTAAAAAAAGAATCTAATCCCTCATATCAGAGAATATTTTCACTCCAATTTTGTTATCATTCAGCCCTACACAATGTTACAGATTCAAGAATCCTTCAAATCTCAATTCATCAAACCAAGGTTAAACAGAAGAACAATATTGGCTTGATGCCTTATACATGGAACATTAAAATAACAGAGCAGCCATTACAGATTCAATAACAGTAAGGCAATTCCTGAAGAAAAAGTAAGAAGATACAAACAATTCTGGACTTGGATAGCTGGATTTACAACAAGTTTACCAGGACACTTTTCATCAAAAAAAAGTTTACCAGGACACCAGAAAAAAGGGCAAAAAAAAAAGTCGAGCTCCGATGTGCTGATGAGTACTTGAGCAGTTGAGCCACAAAGGTGATCAAGGGGGAAAGAGCAGATATGTAACATATGGTAGAAATCATGTGCAGCTGTTTGACCCTGTTACTGTGGCATGTGAATCACACATCTCAAGCACTTGTTTTCTAGCATCAGCTCAAGCGCTTTGTTGATTTCACTGAATGGTATATCATGCGTGACTAGGCCATCAACTTGGATTTCCTGATAAGTGACAAGAATACAAGATATAATAGTCAATGTGAGTTTATGCTTTCTAAATCATTTTTCAGCTTAAAGCATTCAACCAATATGTCAAAGAGATCAGAACGTTTCGTTTTTGTTAGTGTCATAGTAATCAGTAGTTTTCTGCCATCAATTTTAGTACACAGTCACCATCCAATATGTCAACATGCATATTTAAGATCATCTTGCCTCTCCACCTCACATAACACAAAAAGGGGGGAATATATTACTCCCTCCGTTCCAAATTATAAGTCGCTTTGACTTTTTTGGTACATCCATTTTGCTATGCATCTAGATATAATATGTCTAGATACATAGTAAATTCTATGTACCAAAAAAGTCAAAGCAACTTATAATTTGGAACAGAGGGAGTACTATCATTGATCTGATTTTATTTTCAAATATTTGTTTGTGCACAAAAAAAAATCAGAAATACCTTGTCTGCATATTTATCCACCAATGAAGGTAGATCAGATTTAGGTCTCCATCCTCCAAACAAAGATCCCTTCAGTGTTCTTCCGGATAGAAGAAATGCATAATGAGCAGATACTTCTGGCTTTGTTTTTGGTACACCAAGAGTTACAGTTACTCCCCAGCCCTAGCAAGTGGGAAAATGCAAATGAATAGAAGGGAACGGATATGTGAAATATGTCTGTATGAAAAGGAAAGGCAAGACAAGAAATTACATCAGAACATGATTGAAGTGCAGTGGATACTACTCCAGTATCACCCACACATTCAAAAGAGTAATCCACCCCTCCATCAGTAATCCTTTTGATTACCTGCAAGCATGAAAAAAATTCTACTTACATGCACTTAGTCCGAACGATAATGCACTGTCTTTTGTTTATTTCCCCAACTAAGTTGTCAGCTCATACATAGTGTGATTATAATTCAACAGTTTATTAGTTTAGCAGTCAAGCAGAATTGCATGATACCAAACGAGAGTGATGAGCAGGTGACCAATTATGTGCTGTAAAATACCTGTTGAACAGGTTCAGTCAATTCATCTGGGTTAATAAAATCTGTTACACCAAATGATTTCCCTGTACCAGGAATAAAATAATTAACACGAAAGGGATCATAGCAGATTGTACAACTTGACAGTGTAGCAGGTAGCATACCCTTTTCTTGCTTCTCAGAATTAGTATCAACTCCTATAATCTTTGACGCCCCCCGAAGCTTAGCACCTTGAGCGACCTAACTCAGCAGACATAAGGTCTCGTAACTACAATTCTTGATGTGTAATAATTAACTTATAATGGAACCTTATGTTGATACTCACAGAAAGTCCTACGGTCCCAAGACCAAATATAGCTACACTTGAGCCCTTTGATACATTAGCTACGTTCCAGACTGCACCGAGTCCTAAAGATGGAACCATGAACAAAGAGGGACGATCAGATACCATAAAAATGCACAACCATGCAAGGTAACTAAGGCACTGGTTCCTACACACAGACAAGCTGACATAGCTATTCTCATATATCTGAAGCTCTGAACCTCAGGATTAACCTGCAGACACACCGCAGCTCAGCAGGCACACCCTGTCCATTGGCACAGTCAGGCCAACCTTCACCGCACATCCGGAATGGACAACCGTGTACTCGCTGAAGCTTGACACTGCACAGTAATGGTACACAGGTTTCCCCTTGGCAGAGAAGCGGGTCTTCTGATCGCTGTGCATGACACCCTTCCTCTCCAAACCGAGCTTCTGGCACATGTTGCTCTTCCCCGAGACACAATGCTTGCAGCTCTTGCATTCCCCAATGAAGACAGTGAGAACGTGGTCTCCGACTTGGAACTCGGTCACACCTTCACCGACACTCTCTACTACTCTACAGATCGAAGGTGTTCAGATCATCAGATGTTATTATTACAAGCAATTTGCAAAAGCTCAGCACTTAGCAGCATTAAGGGAGATAAGAGAGCGCACCCGGATGCCTCGTGGCCGAAGACTCTGGGGAACAGATCAGGTTGCGCCTGCATGTTGGTATTGGAACAGAAAACAGATAGGCAAATTCGTTCATAGAGATCGTTCGTCTGATCGTCTCAGGCTCTCAGCTAAGGAAAAAAATTCTGATTTGACAGGAATTCTCAAACAAATGGGGACAATAAACATCACTACGATAAGCAGGAGGCTACCCATATCAAACGCAACAGAAGCTGCAGCCGTGGTGGGTGCCGTAGTGCATACCTTGGATTGCCAGGCAGTGACGTCGCTGCGGCAGACGGAGGTGGAGACGACCTTGACGCGGATCTCCATGGGCCCCGGCGGGGCGACCTCCACCTCCTCCATCACCAGCGGCTGGCCCGGCCCCCACGCCACCGCAGCTGCGCGCGAGCCATCCCATGTTACTCGCTACTAATTGCTGCCGCGCGCAACGGCGTAAACAAGCCTACGCGAGAAGTCAGGCGGGGTGGGCTCGTACGGTCGTACCACGGCAGGTGATGGCGGCCGGAGGCGACGAAGATGCAGCGGCCGCGGCCATTCCGGTTCTCGGACTCGGAGCAGGGTCGGCTGCCTTCCTGTGCGAGGTTGGTGCGATGCGAACTGCTGCGAGAGGGGAGTAGGTGCTATTGCCTGTAGTGGACAGAAGACTAGAAGAGTCAAGTCAACCTACCACCGCTTGGCCTACGTAAAAATTCCTCATGATTTTTTTTTTTTGACAAAAGGAATTCGGGAGGGTTAGGTAGCAGTAGCAGTATACTCTTCCCCACCATCCACCAACCATATAAACCCGCCAACAATAAAAAAAAATGAACTTCAGAAGGCAACAACTCAGGGGGGCATAGTGAAAAAAAAAAACTCAGGGGGGCATAGAACAACACAAAGACCGCTGAGATCGAAAAAATGTGCTTTCCCTTAATTTCAAAATGTAATATGTTTTCGAATTAGAATTGGATGCACCCGAATTATAATGTTTGGATGGTCTGACAATTGGTGGATAGAAATTTACTCTAATGTGAAATGGTATTTAGCATACGACACGCTTTCTCCCTCAATTTCGAGCCCTCCCATATTCAGCTGCAATCGCACACTCTCTTCCTTGTGCGCTCACTTACAGTGTTCGTGGCGAAAAGAAAAGCAACAACCAATAGTAGGCAACTAGGGTAGCTCGACGGTGGCGCTTAGGCCTTCCCAACGCTCCAAGTTGGCGTGCTGCCTCAATGGCCATATCAGCATTGCATGGGACCGGTGGTCCCGCAGATCTTCAGAACGGCCTGCAGAAGAACTATAGGCTTCATGTGACAAAAGTTTAAAGCAGTAGTTGAAGTTTGCGTTGGGGGAGAAAGGAGACACCAATTATAATGTTTGGGTGTCTGACAATTGGTGGATAGAAATTTGCTCCAAATTTTGGTATTTCCATACTGGACGCTTTCTCCCTCAACGAGCCTCCCATAAATATTAACTCTCTTCCTTATGCGCTCACTTGCAATTACGAAACTAAAACATAAGAAAAGATTAAAGCAACAAACAATCTTAAGCAACTAATTTATCTATGATTTGACAATGTTTTCCCCAACGTAAAGTTGGCATGTGCTAACTCAATTATATTCAGCACTTTAAAATTCATCTCGAAGCAGATCTTCATGTAATTTGTTTTTTAGAAGAATATAGGCTTCATGTGACAAAAGTTTAAAGCAGTAGTTGAAGTTTGCGTTGGGGAGAAAGGAGACACCAATATTAGCTTGGGCCACATCAAGTTGAGAAAAAAGAAAGCTGTGATGGGAACAGACTCTGAAAAGTTACTGCACTCGCATGCTTGCCCGCGTTGCTCAGACCGGTGACTCAAACTACCGGTGACTCAAACTCTCACTCATCTACGTGTACAATGCTTTTTTTGGCTGATGCCCTTAGACTTAGAGGTTAGTTCTTTCAACCTTACATTTCTCCACGCTTAAGTCTGACTCTCTAATGGAGCCCAACCACCTTCACTTGCACCCTATGGTGGGCTTCCTCTCCCCTCCCTATCCATCCACTCCGGTGGGCAAACATGCCTAGCCCTAGCTCCCGCCCAACGTTTAGCAACAGTTGGTGGCACGCACCCATTCTCCAATGGCACACCCCTCCATCCGACGACGCTCTCCGCCATGGCCTAGACAAGTAAGGGGGTAGAGGATTGGGTGGTGGGTGCATCTGAAGCTGGTGATGGGAGGAGCCACGCAAGGTGGCTAGGTTGTGGGCATGGTTGAGAAGAGAAGATGAATAAATTCTCAATTTGACGATATGCGCACCCAAACATGAATTGGTATTTCCCACTGCTCTGGATTTCTAGTAATAATTTCATTTACATCCAAACATCATATTTGGTACTGTAACTCATTTTCAAAACTAGTATGATTTGATATTGGTGCCCAATTCAATTCCAGCCGCTCAATATCAACATCCAAACAGATCACTGAAAATGGTAGCAACATTTTTAATACCAAACAATATACTATAAAAAGGAAAAAGCTGCATCGTTTTTCCATAAACTTGCTCAAACTTAGTTTAACTTAGAACAAAACCAAAACACCTCAAATTTTGGAACTTACAATTTGAAAATGAAGTGCTGAACTGGACTATACGACACACTTTCAGCTGCTTCTCCAGTGTGCTATGGGGATGCATCAATTCTGCTAGAGCAAGAAACTTCAGAGAATCCATATGAAACCACCTTACATTCCAACCAAGTATTAGTTCAAACATCTGATAAAAATTCTTCTAGAGCACATCAGAGCTCTAGAAACTTCGAAGAAATGTCTTGCAAGAAAAATGAATAATTCTTTTGCAGTCATCATTTTACACCCATAGCAGCACTTCCCTATACACTGGTTACCAGGGCTAGTTTTCTTAGTGGAACTCGGTAGCATTTTGATTACTACAAGCAGAGTCAGGGTTAAAATCTATACAAGTTAGCTGATCAGGTTCAAACCGGGGAATGGCGAAATCTGTGGGTTATTTTTTCTCTTCGAGAGCCCAAAGCCCATGGTCACCTCTTTTTCTTGCTTTCGTTAGGTCTGATCATCTGCACAGGTGCAGCTGGAATGCGAGCCCACCACTCTCTAATTCGCCTGCGAAATTTTTCAGTGTTCTGTTTCCTTAGGGGCATCTCCCTTGTGTACATCTCTAGGACTAACATCTGTAGCAGATGCCTGGAAGGTACGAAGACAAGAAATGCAGCTGCGACAATAAGTACAGCTGCAACTACTTCAGTGGCCTGCATAGGCAGAAGATGGTATTAGCATTTGCCAAACTGGAAATCACTTGTACAGCTCAAGTCTACCCTGCTTTATAATTCGGTGCAATAAATATAATGTTGCAAAGGCGTAAATACATGTTGGGGGTACAGAATCAGAACCAAGATCTGAGAACTTCTAAAGAAACATTCATCACCATGCCTTAGCTTGTAAAGTAAAATTTCAATTAGGAATATCAAGAGATTTTTTATATATATTAGCCTGTGCCTAAATGGACTAACACCCTAGTTATTATCAAGATATTGGAAGTCAGAGATGTCAAACAGCAAAGATCAAAAGACAAACCTTAGGAACACAGGCAAACAAGACAGATCTGAACTTCAGAAGAGTAATATTTGCAGCCTGTAGAAAATCTTCTAACTTGGATATAGCCTCCTGTAATGTCAAAATCTGCTCAACAGCATTTTTACTTGGAGGAGGTTTCACTTCAAGCACTTCCAACAATTTTCCGTCTCCAATATACTTATGCCAAAGCATGATAATAGCAAAAGTTAAGATAACAAAGGGCACGATGTAACTGACGAGATCCCTGTGAAACAAAAAAGGGGAAATCTGAATTAATGTGTATAAGCATACTTGATAAGATCTGACAACAACAATGAAATTACCTTTGAATAACATACAACATAAAAGCTAAGAATAGAAGTGATTTCAAAGGATCTTCCCATTGGCTGAGAGAGTAAACAATCTTGCCTACTTGAATGAAAGGGAAGAGTAACTCCTGCAATATAAGGCAATCCATCAGAATGCAAATCACCTTGCTACTGAAGTATCATTTGAGAAATAGGCTCTGTAATATGAAAAGCCAAGGAACTGAACTAATATGAAGCATGATTGCATAAAAGTATTGCCTGCATCCAAATCAACATGTTTTATAAATGAATCCATGGCAACAAAGAAGCTTACTTCCCATTGCATGTGCCAGAAAAGGAAGATATAAACAAACCTGCATGAGGGCGAGATTTGCATCAATGCCTTCCACCTTTACTTGATCGACTGTAGCACGTGCTGACTCTATTCTCTCAGAGTAACAAATTGACTCTTCCAGGGCAGCCTCCAGAGATTTTGTTACACCAAAGCAAACAGCACAAAAGCTCATTTCCTTTTCAGTTTCATCTTTTGTCTTCAGCAGAAGAAAACCCATTCTAGAGAGAGCATACAAAGAAAATGGTACAGAATGGTTCTCCGACATTTTGTCGACTGCAGTATCAATTGCCAAATGTCTCAATGAAGAGTCCAAGAGTTGGAAATAGTTATTATACAGTGCTTCTAAGACCATGTCTCCTTTTGGAAGCTTTTCTGCTAAGCTAAAAGTAAGTGTTGTCTTGAAGTGGGAAGGAGCAATATGAAAAGCTTCTTTGACAGCAGAGTATCTCAAAATGCCCAGGATAGCTTTTGAGAGTGCTTCTGCTCTCTGAACATCTCCAAGATTGAACTTCCTAATAAATCTGTTCACCTGCAATACTTCACGGGTGATTGCTAACCAATAGTCTCTTCGTGAAGGACCTCCTAATTCAGGGAAATCGAAATAAATTGGTTCTGTCCTGTAAAATAAGGTGATGTTAGTTTTGAAGGCAATTCATTGATTGACAACTACAGAGTTCAAGAAACCAGGTATTGGAGACTGCTTCGCCCTTTCAATACTTACAAAGTGCTTGATTTGTACATCACAGCTTTATCAAAGAGGCGGACACCGAGCGGTCCAGTCAAATCACGCTTAATCACTTGATTTGAATCTGTTGATAGGTCGTACTTGACAATCTTATCACCATATCCCACTCTGATACTCTGAAAATAAAGAGCATGTGTTGTGAGGACCAATCTTCCTGCCAAAAAAAAATGAACATATTAATTGCTTTCCAAAGTGAGGCATGTCTGCCAGTTGAGAACTTGTATGGAAATTAAACAATTCACCTGGCCATGCTGATATTCCAATATGTTGCAGTACCGGATGAATAGGCTTGTCTCCATCAATAGCTAATATGCATTCTCCAGCATCAAGGTGAAAACTTGAGGCAAGTGATGATTGAATGATACCTTTCACAGACCTCAATTCCCTGTAAATAACAATGATGATGCTCTTAGTACCTCACATTGGATCAATCATAACATCATGAACTACTAAAGATCCACAACCCCCTATTTCTCCTAATTTCTTCTATAACATAAATATCCTGAATTCCAGATCCAAATGCAACCATCGAAACCTACTCACAGCGCTGCAACAAAGAAATGTACTTCTTACACAACTTCAGTTGCAGAGGGATAACTTGGTATGCTTAGCTTACCTGGAATCATCATTTCAGCAGTGAGGTTTCAATTATTTATGCACGAACGCAATACATGCATTAACAAAAGACAGGTAAGATAGATCTCGAAATTTTTTACAATTTAAGAAATTTTATTTATTCATTTACCTGTCTAAACTCTTGAGATACTTGTCATAAACAAGAAAGTGCAATCGGCCTCCAGATGAACTTGTAAGTGCGTCAAACAGATTGTGGACAGTAACCAGGTCGGCTATTATTGGGCATGAAGGTGCTATTCGTGCAAAAGCACTTAACCCGACTGTCTTCTTGACATCAACCTAAATATGAACGCCAGTAGATTATCAAGTATATTGACACAGAATAAATATGGTTGTCAGTAGAGAACTAACTTGAACAGCCCATCTTGTGGAATTTGCATAAAAAATTGACCCCTCATCCTCATCTTCAGTCTCAAGGGAATCATGGACAATAGAATCCTGACCACCACAACAGAAAGAGAGAGAAAATAACTTAACAGTTAACACTGTGAAGGCTAAGGAAAATTAAGACATGGACACGATCTTTTTCCTTTCAAAGATATCCATATGATGAATAAGGTGCCAACAAAAAGAATGCAGCCTTGAAAATTTCTCACATTTTCTACTGACGCATCCTGAGCGCCTGGGGTTTCCCATGCAAGCATCATATCAAACATCAAGCAACGAAGATTCTTATCAGCCAAATAGTCTGGACGTGTAGTAACTTCATGAAGAGCTTTGTGGCAGCAATACTCTAAAAGGTCTCTTGCATATGTATTGGTCTCCTCATTACAATTGTGTAGAAAATCAGTCTCAAAGCTTTGCTGTAAGTTCTCAATTGAAAGAGCAAGAATCCTGAAATTGATATAAGTTAGGAAACAAAGCACTTTCACTTCATAACAGAGCATCTTGGCAGGAACCAAGAAAAATCACGTCAACAACAACGCTATGGTTAAATATGAACTTGAGAGGCTATAGGATCATGAGCCGATTTTAATGTTAGTGCTAACTATGACATCCTTCTTAGCATATAATTGGTTTATAAAATGAGTTCAGCTTTAGTTGATCTAATTGTGCCCACTTTATGTAGCTTGCTACCTCCGTTCACAACATGCCCAAACTTAATGAGAAACTCCATGCTGAAATTAAGTGTGAACTCTGGCAAGTTTAAGTGTGAAGTGCACATGTCCGGCAATAGGTAATTTCAGTCCTATTGGATTTCTGTAAGGAATAATTGTTGACGAGTGGAATATGTGTCCTTTCACTAATTGATAGGAAGAATAAGCCTTGCCACAGAACGAATATACTACCAATTAAATGCTCAGGCTAGCAAAATGTTGAGATTGTTCTATCGTTTTCCCAGCAATCGCCCAATTGGGTTCTCTCTCTGTACTGTAATTCTAGACTCTAGAACCAATCGAGTTTGGGGACAGCAGCAATCTGCTGCATGTGGGTCATTGGGTGTAGTTCTAGTGCGATCCTCTGGGCCGTGGTAAACACACCAATCACGATCACAAAAATCACTCGTGCGAAGCCTTTGCATAATCAGTGGATAGCTCAGATCGAACTTCTATAGCCAACCCCTAGCGGAGTAGATTCGCGTCAGGCGAAGACGCTACCTTGAGCAGCGGGAGACGACGGAGTTGGCGACGGAGGAGAGCTGCGGGATGCTCCCGTCGCCGCCGCCCTCGCCGTCGATGACCGCGGTAGCAGAGGGTGAGGCGAGGAAGGCAGCAGCGGCGGCCGCCCGGCGCTGGGCGAGTCGGGCTAGGAAGGTGCGGATGGGCTTCTCCCGCACCCACGCCTCCACGATCCCCATGCCGGCCGCCCTCGTTCTCGCCCTCGGTTGTCTTCCCCGCTTCGGTTGCTTGGACTCGATGGGGATTTTTAACCTTTTTTTTTTGCCATCTTTATATGCGCCCCCACACATCTGTCGTCGCAATCAGTAGCCCTTCTAAGTTTTTATTATTTTTGCTGAGATGAGCACGCCAGCGTGGAAAGAGCTTGGGAAGGCCTAGCATGTGAAATAACATATGCACCCCTGCTGCTTCTCTCCCTCCAATCGCTGACGCGTGGGCCCCACATGTCAGCTTCGTCTTCAACCTCCCGCCATCACCCGCCAAAGGCGGGCGGTGGCACGTCTGCGCCATCCCGTCCTCGACGGCTGCCCCACCGGCACCGCTTGCGGTGACCACGTCCGTCTCCATCATCAAAGGCGGCCCGCGATGCCGGGGGCATGCTGCGAGGGACGCCACGGCGACCTCGCCCGAGCATGTACGTGAACCGCGCAGGCGGGCCGGCGCGGCGGCGCTGTCTCTGACGACGACGACACCAAGACGACGCAGGAATCGCGCGCCGCGCTGGCCGCAGACGGCGCACACGGACAACGCGAATAAGGCTACGCTTGCCGCCCTCCACGACTAGGGGAGGCGGTGGTGCGGCTGCTGGCTCTTTGCTCTCGAATGGCGCCGGACCGGGACGCGGAGTGGGAGCGCCTTCGTGTAGGCGGGGCGTGTCCGGGGGCGGCGTGGTCGACGACGAGGTGGTTGTGGAGCCTTGGCGGGGTGGCGGTGAAGGGCACCGGGCGCCGCGATGGATGTGGCGAAGCGAAGCGCGCGCGCGTCTGGTGCGCGGCGGTTGCATGGTACGCCACGGAGGTGCCGCAGCCGTAGAGACTTGAACGCGAAGCACACGGCACCAAGCGTCGCCGACGAAACACAGTCGGCTCCGCAGCGCGCGGCGGTGGTGGCGTGGTCGCGATTTGCGCAAAGAAGGTTGCCCCCGTCAAGGCAAGTGCCGCCTGACAAAGATGCCCGCCGCCGACCGCTGCCTGACCCGGAAAGGGCGAAGACAAATCCGTCAATCCGTGGTGCAAAGGAATAAAAAAACGTGACCGGCACTGCACGAGTTCCCCCTTCCCTCTCTGCGTGGCGAGTGTGGAAGGTTTAAGACGAAGCTGACACGTGGAGCCCACGCGTCAACAATTGGAGGGAGAGAAGCAGCAGGGGTATATAGGTCATTTCGCATGCTCTTTATGTCTTTTCAGGCTCCCTGCCACACTGGCGTGTCCATCTGGCGTGCCACCTCAATAAAAATGACAAAAACATAGAAGAATTACTGTTTACGATGGTAAATACGTAGGAACACACCTAATGATGACAAACGGAGAAGTGCCATCCGTAAAGATGAGAAAAACTTAAAAATCCCGACCGGAAGCGTCGCGTTCGTGCCTTCATTTAGGCCGTGTTTGGCCGGGCTCTCGCCCGCAGTGCTCCGTTGCGGGAGCCAGAGCCAGAGCTGCGAAGCCACAGATCCGGGCTCCTCCTCCGTACGTGCAAAAGGGCTTCGGCTCCTGTGGTGGACGGGCAGAAGCGGCTCCTCCGGTCAGCGCGTTTGGTACGGCTCCTCCGTCGGAGCTGCCGCGGAGCCGGAGCCCGGCCAAACAAGGCCTTACTCTGTAAGACTGGCAAGACGCGACTCGATTCGGGAGTTTCCGGCTCCGTCGCGCCGCAACGGCGCAGTGCCCCTTTGCGTGCTTGCTTCTCGGAGCAGGGGACTGGGAGCCGGTTCGCCGCCCTCGATCCTCCGAGATCTCCCACCGTCCAGTGCCTCCAGCTCTGGCCGACGGGAAATAGGGCCTGTTGGATAGAGCGCTAATAAGTGCACTCCCAACTCAAAAACCATATGATTGTATGTTCATTGATTAAGATGTCAAATGAAATAAATAAAAAGATGACAAGACACTCCAGTTAAAGAAAAAGAAGAGAATTATTTTTTTAATAAGAAACCATCAGCATGTTCGCACGTTACTTTTAGCCAATCAACGGTGTTTTCTTCTCATAATAAACCAGCACCAATCGGACTTATCAGCCCACAAACCAACCAAATAACAAGCAGTCAGTATATTTACCACAGGTCCCGGGAACAAGGACTTTTTTGTTTTAGTATGGCTATTTCATATCTTTTTTTATGTAAGTCCTATCCTCTATTCTCTTTTCTGTTTGCCAGTCAGATACCCAAACTCTATAAGACTAGATGAATATGGACTCTTCCAACTAGATAAAAATCTATCATGGTGTTGTTGTTTCTTTATTTGTGTTTGATCTGATTAATACGGCATTAAGAAAAACAAACGAGACATGTTTAGTTCCCTTCTCAATGAGTCTGCATTGCATCTGGCCAGTCAGACCCTCCGGAGGCCGAGGCTGAGTGGAGAATGGCTAGAGATTGAAAAAAGGGTAAGCATCAACGAGTGGAGATGGAGAAATGGATATTAGTAGATTGAGAATTCAATGGTTTTTGATCTACACATGGGTCCAATGCCATCAGTCAAATATACACGCAATAACACGATTCAAGTAGAAAAAATATTGTAATGCCAAATGTCTAAATAGACAAATTTGTAGTCTTGATCGTTTTTGTGAGAATTCAATGGTTTTGATCGGATATCACATGGGTCCAATGCCATCAGTGGGGATATACACCCAATAACACGATTCAAGTAGAAAAATATTGTAATGTTTGGTTTTTCTAAATGGATACAATGGATATAAATACGATAAAATAATTTGAAATTAAAACTCATGTGTTTTAATATACTAATAATAATTTGTTTACTTAGATTATTAAATTTATTTAAAGTTGACTCATGAAAATATTTATTATTTGTTGCCTCTTGTTTATACATGTGAATATGTGTATATATCATGAGTTTTGTATCCATTTGGGTTTTATCCGTTAAGGTTTCGGGTATATGGGTTTGGTTTTGGTGATGGATTTCCACCGAATCGGTTTAAAGGCGGATTCGGGTTTCGATTTCGGTTTTCGTTTTGGTGCGGAGACTCCACCGACCCGTTGCCATCCTTACTTATAAGCATGGTTGATCTTTGTTTTGTTGTATCGTATCATCGATAGGCATATGATCCGATACGATCAAGCGAACATGGTGTAAATCCGTTCCAAATTATAGTTCGTTTGACTTTTTTAACTAAATATCACTTCTTTTGTTGTGTCTTGCTTTATTAAAAAAGTTTTTCAATAATGAATTAAATTTGACTATATGTGTATAAATTTATTTAAATAAGACGAGCGGTCAAATTTAAAATAAAAAAGTCAAATGAAGTATAATTTGGGACGAAGGAAGCAATAATGAAATATCTCACGGGCACGAAAAAATACCCAAACAAAAAACAAAGACACCCGACGTATGGCTGGAGGCCTGGAGTAGGCCATGCGCGCTGGCACGAGCACGATCGAACGGCCGAAAAAAGAAAGAAAGAGGAGACGTGGCCTATCAGATTGTTTCTTTTGGTTCAGGATCCCCCCTTCCGTCCGCTGCATTCCTCCGAGCGTGTTCGTCTGTCTCTCTCGCCCCCCTCTCTCTCTCCGACGACTGGTGGGCCGCCGCCGTCGCCACCGCCGCCGCCCTAAGCCAGGTGCTGAGGCTTTCGTTGGTCTCTTCGCCGGCGACAAGCACCCACCAGGTACTCCCACCCCTTCTTTTCCCTTCATGCTGTGCGAAGCTGAGCACCGAAACCCTAACTTAATGCTATCTAGCTATTTGACGACCCTCGTAACTTCGAAGCTTTTGCAAAAATTATTGGGTCCCATGTGTCTTACTCCCTTTACTGGATCCGCCCCTGTTCGTGGTGATCATTGTTAGCTGACTTCCTTATTGCGGTTGCTTGATTAATGGCTTGTTTGGATGCATAGGTATAATTGTTAGCTAGCTAATTTGTAGCCCTAACTCATCCGAACAGGGCTAATTTTTGAGCCAAGCCTCCAACTAGTTGTCAGCCAACCCCCTGGGCTAATTTTTAGTCTCAGCTAATAACTAGCCCTAGCTGATCCAAACAGGCCCAAATTGTCGAAGTTTGCACTCAAGGATTTAAATACCACATAGAAAAATACATGTTTTGCAATGCAGATTGAGGAATTATGCATCGGTCATCATTTATCAAAAACCCAAATAGCATGCTTAATCAATGCATTTTAACCCATGAGAAAAACTTGAATTGTTTACAAAGCACCTTAAACTTTTACACGATGCTGTAAGTTGTAACCATAGTCATAGGGAACAGAGTTGAAGCCGCATCCTTCTTGACCGTGGAATGTGGGGACATTCTCTTCGCACCTTGTAAAAACCCTTTCACAAGTAGCTTACAACATTTCTTGACCCGGCTGACCTGGGACTGTGAACTTTGTGACTATGGTCGTTTTGGGTATTTTGCAGAAGCCATATAGTTGTCTGCCTGCACCTCTGCAAACTTTTTATTTAATTTGTTGGCTCTCAAAAATATAAATATCATATATCAGCTTGCATAATGTTCTACAAATTATCAGTGCTAGAAACTATACACCACAAATTTGCGCTAGATCCTGACATGCCCATTGGCTTAGAGTAAGTGTTTTGTTTTTCACAATTTGACACTGGTGGTGCTTAATCTCCATATTTTAAATATTACTCCATCCGTTCCAAATTATAAGTCGCTTTGACTTTTTTGGTACATCCATTTTGCTATGCATCTAGATAAATAATATGTCTAGATACATAGCAAAATGGATGAACCAAAAAAATCAAAGCGACTTATAATTTGGAACGGAGGGAGTACTCAGCATGCTGTTTTTCCCCTTTCTTTTGCTTGCTTCACCAAAGTCCTTTTCAGGTAACAAATTGTCAGCCCCCTAAACAAATCAGTTACAAACCTATCACTCTGTTAGCTCCCTATTGATTGACCAAGAAAATACAGCAGACCACGCCAATGGGAATGTGGGATGCTATATTTGATTTCCTCAAGGGCCCTTAATGGTCATTTGTGTGTTTCATTCCTTGACAGTATTATGTGTTCATGGTTTATTTCTTCCATAGGACTCAGGTTAAATGTAATGCAATTTATGTCCGTTTCATTCACTAACCTACACTTGTTCATAGCTTGTGCATGAACAGAGGAACTATAGTATGAACTTATGTTTCTTTATCTTTTCCTCCTTGGACCTAAGTGACAACTTCTAACGTTAGGCTTCCTTGAAACCATTGGTAACTACATATCACTTATTGGTAAACTATTATGTTCTGATCCTCTGAGAATTGGTTAAATGATTTTACTACTAAAGCCCCTGATTGGTTCCTAGGAATTAAGAATTGGAAACTAATTCCACAGTCAAGTTGTTTGGGTGCCATGAAGGATAGGAATGATTCCACTTGTATACTAATCCAACATAATGTGATTCTGGCAAGCCTTCACCCGCTAAATGTCTAGATCTGCCCGCCTTCGATTCCATTTTCTAATCCAACATAATTTGATTCTCTCTTCATGTCTAGATCTGTAATTTTCGTTTTGACTCCTTCAGCTACATGCTCCTCTCCATCTCTCCAAGGGAGAGAAGCAGTGAATCAATCTGCGAGGAAAATGATTAGAACATCTATAGATCCTTGCTGATTATTAATGTGAATCCTTCAATGGCTTCCGCCTGAACTCTCTTGCCTAGACATGCAGCGTGAGGTTAGCCTCCACAAACACAAGGATCTGCTCCATGAGCACAATGGCACAACTGGTGCCATGGTTGCTCCCCTGCTGGCTGCTGCTGCTACTCTCCTGCTTGTTTAGATGTTATCACTTAGGGGGAAATTTCAATTCCAAATAGCACCCTGCAAAAAAACAGAATTTAAATATGCTGGATTCAGATTCAGTTTAAAAAAAAAATTTGAAACACTTCCTAGAAATTGGTTTCAATGGTGCTGTATGATTTTTAGGCTATTTCTATTTTTTAGGGACCGTGGGTGGGTAGGTGGGGGTGGGGTGGGGGTAAAATTGTCATTTTCTTTGATCAGTGCCATTTCATTAAAAAATGTTTGTTTTTTTCCGACCATTTCAACCAAAAGTCATGTAACCAAAGCTTCTCTTATTATTATTTAAGATCCTAAGGTCCATTAGACATGACGTGACATCCATATATTATGCATTTGGATCCAAATTTAGTAAAATGAATGATTTCATCAACTTTCAGATTCGTGTAATCATGTACTTTCTGTGAATACTATGTGCTACTGTTTCTCTTTGGTTCTTCCAATATAGTTTCAATTCATTTGTGCAGAACTTTTCATGTAACAATCAGTGATGCATTCTGGTCATGTTGCAGTAAACGATGATGTTTGGTGTTAATACTGACTTATGTGCTTCAAAGTCCTAGTATATATTAAACTATTGAATTGCTGTTCAATTGATAGACACTCTTGAAGTGTAGGATGAATCCTAAGCGTAGGAGGAGTCATAGCCCAGTTGAATACAAGGAAGGTCGTGACAAAGATTATGAGACTTCTGGAAGGAAGGATAACTCAAGAGATCTAGATGACACATGTGATGCTAGAAGAGGTCATGAATCGGGTAGGCACTCTGATAAGCATTCCTATGGAACATCACGTGAATCCAAGAGGCATGATGACTATAGGAGGTACCATGATAAGTACGGTGATGATTATGGTAGAAGCCATCCAAGAGCCTCTCGGTCAGACCGGGAATCAAGGGTTGATACTTATTATGATCGCTCAAAACATGATGGCACATCTGGTAGATCACGTGGTGACCAGCGAGATGTTGGCAGATATGGAGAAAAATCTGTCAATCGAGATCAGAGGAGTATAAATGAAGGAAAGCAGGAGTCCCCTCGTGGCTATCAAAAGAATGATGGTGGAGAATACAATAAATATACAGATGCAAGAAAGCAAGAGTACAGAGGTTATGGAGATGATAGAGATCATCACAGGGTTATTCGTAAGAACAAGGAAACCATCAAAGAGGACGAGGTCCTGAAGAGGAGAAATGGAAAGGAAATTGAGAAAGAAGCTTTGGTGGAAACTAGGGAGAAGAAAAGTTTATTCAGCTCTACTGGGCCAAATGTTGATAATCCAGGGGGTTAGTTGATTTTTTTATTCATGTACTCTCTTTTTTGTGCATACTTTTCTATATTCAGTCTCAGGCAGCGTAAATTTATGGAATTCCACAGATGCCAAACCATCCTCAGCCACAAATGAAGCCTTGGATAACTCTGCAGGAACCATAGATGGTGTGAATGCAGCTAAAGTTGCAGCTATGAAAGCTGCTGAATTAGGTACGCATTTCACTTTTTGTGTCCATTCCTGTCATATCTCCAAGACCTATATTCTCCTTAGCTATTTTTTTTTCTCTCTGGTGCTTGTCTTTACATTGGCACGTTCACCTATCAGCAATGCTGCATGGTTTAAAGAAAAGGGAAATTGTATTTGATGATTTTGATGTTCTGAACATTGCCGTGAGCCACTGATAATTGATAACACAAGAAACATATGGCATCCAGTGAGATGGCCATAGTAGTAAACATATTTCCTGACAATTTGAGCTGTGGCTTGCATCATTGATTCATTGACAATCCCTTCGTGTTTTATGGCAGTGAATAGGAACATTGCAGCATTTGGTCCTGGAACTGGGCGCCTATCCACTGATCAGAAGAAAAAGCTTCTTTGGGGTAACAAAAAGAGTAATCCTTCGGAGGAGGTAGGTTTCAGTGAATATATGACCTTTTTTTTCGTTTTCATTTCATTCAGTTTGTTAACCCTGATGCTACAGACAAGTAAACGTTGGGAGTTGTTTTCTGATCACGAGCGCCAAGAGAAATTTAACAAACTCATGGTAATTCCCTCTCTTCCAAGCTCAGTTTTGAATATTTTAGTCCTTTCAAATTTATTCATATTCCATTTCAGTAAGACATATACCTGATTACTCTGCAATGCACTAACACGGTTTTAGAGTCTGAGGATGCCTTGGTGGCTATGGTATGTCGCAGGGTGTGAAGAGCAGTGCCCCAGTTCAGGAAAACATGGTCGAGAACAAGGCCGGGAGCTCGGCGGAAGAAGCCAAGAAGCTGGAGGAGCTCGACACCAACCTGGAGAAGCATTACATAGCAGGCCTCCGCAGGAGAGATGGCAGGACAGTCGGCCTTGGCCTCTAGAAACTCTGCTTGCAGATGCTGCGGCATTGAAAACAATCTACAGTGTCTTGTTTATTCTTGCACTTATAAATTTTCCACGTTAAACTGTGTTGCCGGGTTATCTTGAAGCTATAGAACATCTATGCCTGATTGACACTCCTGTACCTGGCCTCCGATCGCTTATCTTATACGTTAAACTGTGTTGCCGGGTTATCTTAAGCATAACCTGCTCATTAGAACATCTAAATGCCTGATTTCAATAATCTTGGAAGTCAAAACATCTCAAGTTTACCAAGTTTATATAATAAGATAATAACATTTATGATACCAACTAAGTATCAATATTCTTTATTAATTATATTTTTATAGTATACCTATTTGATGTCATAAATTTTTGTAATTTTTTTATAATTTTTCTCTTTGCGCTTCCAAAGTTGTTTGGTTTGGCCTAACGGGTTATGCCTACCAAAGTTGTTTGGTTTGGCCTAACTATGCCTACCAAGAAAATTTTGGTCATTAATGCTTCATCTACTTACAAAACTTACAGAATTCCTAGTTAGGTAAAAGAAAACTACTTTATCCCTGGTATTCTAATACGAACGTCCACAAAATTGTGAACCTGCAATGAAAAGTTGTGCTAGAAGATCCAAGTTAGGTAAAGGAAAATACTAATGTGCCTTCATATCATATGATAATAAGGATGTCGAAAACTTATGGACGTGGACAGAATATCTCTTGGTTTGTAATATTTTGTAGCTATGGCATGCGTTGCACTACTTCATATTTTAAGTGCACAAAAAGCTTAGGCTTTTGATGAAGAAAACAGTAAGGTAAGAACTCTCATTTTAACTTTTGGGTACTAACTGTTTTTTTTACATGTTGCATTAGGTTTGTCCTAAGTCCAATCTATTTATTTTAATTAAAAGGAATCTTAAATCCTGTGTTTAATGCTAGGCATTATGTTAATCAGAAGAGAAATTAAGACTACAGAAAAACCGATTGTAAAGTTGCATATACGAATGAATGAGTGTCGCACACTCGCGGCTGAAGCATCAGTCCGCATAAATTTGTTTGCATAGATCCTAGTTCTATATTTATGTTTGTTAATAGTATCATGTTTTATCTTGAGCAATTAGGGATGAAAGTAAATCGAAAATTGCCTATGCTTTTCAATAACTGACGGATTGTACGGTTTTGAACTTTTATTAAGACCAGATAAACATATTCCTCCTTGATAATCAATTGGACTGGCAGATTTCCTTCTTTTGTGGTTTTGCCACACTGACAATAAAACGTTTTTCTTATCCCATCTTCGGCCATCGATCTGAATCCAAATTGGGCCTCGACCCCAGGGCCCAGCCCTCAAGAGTCGTCCACCGCTCGAGCAAACCCACGCGAATTCAGATTCCGCTTCTCCAATCCATCCTCAGACAGAACAGCCTCCCAATCGGAGTCCGGAGACCCCCGCGCGGTTAGTCTCGAAGCTTCCGCTCGGAGCCACGAGCCTGGGCTAGGGTTTCGCGTCCTCCCGTCGTCAGCCCCAGCCATGTCCGGGCGCGAGGTCCGCGAGTACACCAATCTCAGCGACCCCAAAGGTGTGCGCCTCCTTCCGCTGATTCGTCGATTTACCCGCCCCTGTTTCCTTCTAGTTCCTGAATGGGGTGTTTGGCTCCATGCATGCGCAGACAGGAAGTTTGGGAAAGGGAAGGACAAGATCGACGATGAGGACATCACCTTCCAGCGCATGGTTGCAAAGGTTAGACCGAATCGTCATGCAACCTCTGCTCCGGCGTACTGTTTTGTTGTACTGCATACCTGTATGCTCGTTTTTAGGCTTTTTTTTTTCTGGGTTAAATGTAGGCATGCTAAGCAATAGAGTCATTTCGAAATTTTAATTACCCATCTAGCTACCTATTGCTGTTAAAAATGTTTCATCCGGGGGTGGGGAGATGGCAGTGGTATTCTCGACTATCCTATGCGTTTAGAGCTAATTACTATCTAGTGTTGATGTCTGCTGATAACTAAGTTATGTGCAAGTCTCACAATGAACAATTTGGATTGCTGAATGAATCGACATGCCAAGTTGGAGCCGATTTCAAGCATTGTTCGTTTTGTTTTCCTTTTTACAAGGACCAGTGGAGAAGTTAGATAAGGCAGGGGCACGATGACAGTACCTTCAAGTTGTTTTTACTGAGCCAAACTTTCAGAATTTTAATGAGGCTGTTAAGAACCAATTTGAATTGTGACAAAAAATTGTAGTTTGCCAGTGTAGTTAGTTTGTTGACGTTATGCAGTTGAGAAAAGGCCTAGGCCTTGTTCTTTTGGATCTAAGAGACAATGTTGCCTCTCAGCGAACCATCCATGCATTTGAGCAGTTTGTGATTTCTAAGCGCTTTGTAGATGTTTCTGTTTTAGACCTGCATCCTAGAAATACATTTGGGTTGGCTTTGTTGTGAAAAGATAAAGTTAAAGGTCGCCTTAGATTTAGGCTGCAGTCCAGCAGCATTCTTCAGACTAATGCTAGTTTGTTGGTAAAATAACATTTTTCGTTTGTTTTGGTCACACGAGGATGTCTTGCTTTTTCTTGAACGCTTGATTAAATGATTAAGGGGGAATTCCTTGTGTGCCATTAAAAAAGATCGCAATAATGCATCGTATTGCTTTGGAAAAGTTATTAAGCGGTCTTGGTATACTTTGCTCTAACTTTTTGTGCCCTCCATAACTTCTTGAAGATCGTCGAGATTTTGGGCTCTTCATTTAACGAAAAAAAAAGATATGATTTTTCTAAGATATACCCTAATCATATCAAATCATGTCATTATTTTTTGAGGAATTAAATGAAGATAATTTTATATGAAAATTATAGATCTCGATGAGATCTACAATTTTCATATAGTTTTGATCTTTTTTCATTCCATAAAAAAAAAGATAAGATGCTAAAAAAATTAATGACATATTTAGACTTAAGGGTATTTTCGACTTTTCACACTCATCTGCTGTTTGACGCCAAAGTAGAGCCCAAATTGACGGCAAGTGGCATGGAGGGCACAAAAAGTTGAGAGCAAAGGGTTATACCAAGACCACCGAACTTTCGATTGTGGGGCACACGTAATATTACGATCTTTTTTAATGGCACACAAGGAATTCCCCCAATGATTAAGCATTTCGAATAGGTGTCAGTGTACAATGTTCTTATAACATGCCCTGACAGGGATTTTGGCTCTCTACTCGGTGGTTGATACCAACAGATGCAAGAGGTTGCTGGTGAGAGGGGAGGCTACCTTCATGGGCGAGGAGGTATTCAAATGCTTCTTTTACATGAAGACCCTTGTAAAGTTGTAGGTTCCTTGTTAACCTTGTTGTCTATGCTACTTTTGTGTTCTTCAGCATTGGACAGCGATGATTTGCTTTACCTGAAAGAGCAAATGGAAGCCGAGGAAGATGCCGAGCGTCTTCTTCGTCGTACTGAGAAGCGGGCATTTGCTGCTTTTAAGATATCCCTTATTAAACATAAATAATGTTGCTTTTCCTGTTATACAGTTAAGGATACAATCTGATCAATATGGTTCAGTTAGCTTTTCTACATCAGCATGAAAATTTTCACACCCTTACAATTCAGTTTCCTTCCGTTGGAATAGTGCAATAGAAACATGTGGTCTAAGCTATCTCTTTGCTATCTTTAACTCTGACATTACAAAGCAGCAATTTTAGCTGATTCTACACCTGCTGTCCCTGTGGCTCTTCGTGTTGAACCTAAACCTAAAAGTGATATAAGGTAAGCTGCCTCCAAGACAGCCCTCTACATCCTTCAACAGTACCTTGTACCTTTTTCCTTATATATATATCCCAAAATGAGCAATACCTTTTCCTTATGATCTGGGTGCTTGCGTTATGGACAGGCAACAAGATCTTTTGAAGAACATTGTTGGGATCAAGCCAAAGCGACCAAAAGTTAGCAGCCCTTCACAGCCAACATATAGCAATAAGCTTAAGCATGGGGAAGAAGATTCTGTCAGCGAGTTGTCTTCATCGCAGAATCAGTCGGGACTACTTGTGGGCGAGAAGGGATCATCTCATGGGACTGTGAATCCTGACCACACAGCGCCAAGGCTTGAAAAAACAAGAGAGGTGAAGCAACAGAACACAGCTGGAAGTTTGCTTGGTTTAGCCTATGAGAGTTCGGACGAAGAATAGTTGATCATGTGAGCCCTATGGGAACTGGACTATTTACTGTCAGATGTCTGCATTCCAAACGGCAAAATGTAGATTGTATATTAGTTTTTTCAATGTACTATTATTAGGCTGTGTTTGGCACCAGGATCGAATGGAAAGCTGTGTTAATGTTGCTAAGTTGCTACTCCCCTATCTGTTAAGCGTTTTTTACATTCCGTTGCAGCAGAAGGTTGACGCCAAATTTTCACTGCAATGCATCTGTGCTTTGTTTTATCAGAAAAGTTACTCACACTTCCCATGTCACTTTTATCCGGGAAGCAATCCAAAATATTAAGTTAAATGGGGGGTGTTAAAGTCAGCAGCTGAGGCATAAAATTTGCGCCCAACGTTCAATGTGTGCACAACAATTGACAAACACAATAAGTTACGACCAACACTTGGATACCATGTGAACTTGGGGCACAACACGGGCAGTTAATACTCCTATCTAGCTTAATCAAAGGTCATAGCAGGAACTTGACCATTAGTTGTGACATAAAAAGAACTTTACAATTTGATCCAGTATCGCAAACACTTAACAAAGGGTCAAGTTATCAATTCTGTAGCCTTCTGAATGTAGCCCAGTCTTAGGAATTGATGAAGCCATGAAGGCGAAGGGGCTCCAAGCGTGTTAGGTCACGGCCAAAAACAAAGACAGATTTACATATTTTTCCAGAAGTTTCTGATGCCATAAGCAAAAGATTTCAGGCTGCCCAAAAGACCTGTGTTCACGGACTCCTCAAGCTTTGGGTTGTCTTCTCTGCATAACACCTTACCTTCATCCTTAGGGAAGGCATGCTCAGAAACTTGTCTTTCAGCCACTCTGGGTTCATCCTTTTGCATGAGGTGAGCCATTTCAGCATCATCCTTGGGCGTGGAATGCACAGAAACTTGTCTTTCAGCCACTCTGGCTTCATCCTTTTGCATGAGGTGAGCCACTTCAGCATCATCCTTGGGCGTGGATGGCTCAGAAACTTGTCTTTGAGCCACTCTGGCTTCATCCTTTTGCATGAGGTGCTCAGTGACTTCAACTGTGACTTGACGTGGAACTGGCTTAGGATTATCCAGTGGTAATTTTGCATGATTATACACCATTTCTTGAATTACCGGGCGCACTGTGTAAAAACTGCCTCCAATTTGCTCACAGATATTTGTTATAGTAGGAAACTTGCCTTCATTTGAAGCTCTATAACTGCACTAAACAGAAACACATGGTTTAACAGTCACGAGAATAACTAACTAACCAGAAAAAAAAGGTTTTTATAACTCCTAGACATAATTGCCACTCTTTATCAGAATCCTACAAATCTGAATGAGTTGTGCCACATTTCCATTGTTAATTTCTAAATCTCAAGTGTCAATCCTTAATGCACAACTAGCATAAGTGTCTATTACTCGGCTGGGAAAAAGCCAAACAGAAATGCTAATGAGCTGAAAGCTACACACACTTTGCTACTTATGACCCAAAAAGATAAACTCTACAACCAGAAAATCGAGTGAGGAAAAGTCACCTACTTGTCAACGAATTCCACTATCAAAGCCCTCCTCTCCTGCATTGAAATCCTCTTCCGCCCCTTGGGCGGTGGCTCCTGCGCAGGCAGCGGCGCCGCATGCGCCTTCCCCCGGGAGGTCCGGTAGCACGACCGTGTGGTGGCGCTAGAGACACCCGCTATCACTGGGAAGAGGGAACAGATCAGGCAAACAAGATCACATCACCGCCGGGGCCAAAACCCAGAGCTTGGATCCGACACGGGAGGCGCGGGCGAAATAGGCTTGATAACTAGCTTTGCTCACCTTTCCTGAAGGCCGCGGAGGAGGAGAGGCGCGCGGATGCCTGCATCGCGGAGCGCAATGGCGGATCGCGGAGGGAAGGCGGGCGCCCTAGGGTTTCATGCCCTGTCTGACTGGACGAGGATAGCAAGGTTTTAGCTTGACTGAGAAGACGAAGAAGGGGGACGGGACGGGCGGGCGGCGGCGGCTGGGTGTTGAGGCCGTGCGTGGCCCAACCAAGAATAATAAGGGCTGTGCATTCCACACACAAAAAAGAAGAAGATATGTCAGCTTCTTGACTTTTTTTCTGAGAAATATGTCAGCTTCTTGACAAAAAAGGAATTTATTTACATATATATGCTCGACCCATTGAGTTCAACCAGTCGACTTCGCCAGGGGTAGTCCTTTTCATATGCCTTTGATGAAACACAAGAAGACTGATTGTTGTTGCCAAATTGCATCTAAAAAGATTTGTTGTCATTTTTATTGCCCGAAAAGAAGTTATGCCCTTCTGGATTGAAGGAGATTTTGGAAATCTGACAAAAAGAATCTCATAATCCTAGTTATTCATCCAAACATGATAGATTTTAGAGCAGATTCTAAAATTGAACACATCAGAGATGTTTGATTTGGAATCCTATGCAATCCAATACAAGATTATCCTAGACATCACCAAAGTTGAGTTCAAGGCACATAAATCACCAAACCTCCCAAATAGGATTTTATTATAGGTATGACAAAATATGAAAATTTTAAAAATATGAACATGATAAATTTTAGAGTGGATTCCAAAAATCTATCACATAAGATATATTTGATTTGAAAAACACTATGCAATCCAATACAAGATCCATCCTAAAAATCACCAAACCTACCAAAAAAATATGAATTATTGGATTTTATTATGGGTATGACAAAAAAAATATGAAATTTGAAAAAAGAACAAATATTGCTTTCGTTGAGAGTCGAACTCAATGTTTGATTTGAAAAATCCCTATGCAATCCAATGCAAGATCCATCATGAAAATCACCAAACCTACCAAAGAAATATGAAAATTGCTGGATTTTATTATGGGTATGACAATAAAAGTGAAATTTGAAAAAAAAAAACCCTATGCAATCCAATGCAAGATCCATCCTGAAGATCACCAAACCTACCAAAGAAATATGAAAATTGCTGGATTTTATTATGGGTATGACAATAAAATGTGAAAGAAAGATTTTATTATGGGTATGACAATAAAATGTGAAATTTGGAAGAAGAAAAAACAATTATTGCTCTCATTGAGAGTCGAACTCAAGACCTCCCGCTTACTAAACGGGTGCTCTAACCAACTGAGCTACGAGAGCTGTTGTGTTTGAGCAAATCATGTAAGATTCTTTTAACAATTTAACCTGCTGCTTTTTACAACAAATGCATAATCTAATGATCATTATCAGGTACTCGCTCGATCCCAAAAGGATGCAACTCCTAAGGAGTAACGAAATCAAGTTGGATCAAATTCAACAAAATACTAATCTTTATGGTGCCAAATAAATATAGCTAGATTAATTATAAAATATATATTTTATAGTAAATGTATTTGGAAATATTAACATTGATATTATTTTCTATAAACTTGTCCTAAACTTTACAGTTACATTCTTTTTGGGATTGGATGGAGTAATGTATTTGATTGAACATGTATATGACCAAACCTCACATTCCTCCTGATCACAGGAGACGCAAATTAAAAAATGTTATACCAATATTTGACAAAGAGCGCCTCATAGAACTTTCAATCAGGAGAAATAGTTCGATTGACTATCGAACTGGAGGGAATTGTTGGTTTGCATTAGCATACTATCAGGGACTATGCGTTCGAAAACATGATTTTTAATGCAACTGAACAAAAGAAAATGACAACCCTGTGAAGGTCTCTGATCAAACCAACATGCATGAAATGGTGCGCAAAATGGCACACCATGAATCACATCTGAACAATGTATGGCTAACAATGAAACACAAACACATGTGTTGAGCAGCAATCCATCTTGCCGCCGCCACCACCACCTAGATAGATAGAACAAATACACTCAGACCATGCCTCAGCTTACAATTCCTAGCAACTACGAATTCGCCGAGACGACTCGAACACCAGACCGGCCGCTCGCCACGCTGCCGCTGCCACGATGAGCGCTGCGTCCACGGTACTGGCCGTTACCTTTTCCAGAGCCGGCGCGTGACCGGCAACTGGGCTCGAGCTGGCACTGCCTCTGCTTGCTCTGTCGGGGCCTGTTCATCGGGATGCAGCGGCCGCCGTGACTGCCGGACTGCTCGACAACCTCGTCGCCGGTGCTCCACGTCCGATCCGAGGACTCGACCGAGGTGGGCTCCCAGGAGGGCGTCCACGGGTGGCCGGAGACGCTGTTGCTCCCAGCCGACTCCTGAGGCTCGGTTTCCGCGCGGACGTCCCGCACCGGCAGCAGGTGCTTGCGCGCGGCGCTCGGCTCGACGAAGTCGTCGCTGCCGACCGGCGCGTTGACGGAGCCTTTGTCGTCGGCGGAGTGGCCAGGCTCGTATTCGTAGGTGCGGTTTTCGGACGACGAGGAGTTGAGGTCAGCCACGGCCTCGACGATGGAGCAGGCCTTGGCGACGCACGCCGGCAGCGAGAAGGACGGCGTCACCGGCGTGGCCGCGGAGGGAGCTGCGGAGGTGGATTGCTGGTGGTAGTTGTGGATGTCCTCGAGCAGCTGGGTGGTGTACGAGCCGGGGTTTTGGTCAAAGTCTCGCGACGCGCGCCGCGATCGGCACCCTGGCTGCGCACCGGGCCTTTGGATCGTCAGGCTCTCGGCCACGATGCTCACCGTGCACGTCGCGTTCGTCTTCGACGAGTGCGCTCTCGTCTCAGACGCCGCAACAGCAACGGCGGCGTCCTCTGTGATCTCCGGCTTTTCCTTCCCGGAGCAGCTGCTTGGCACCGCCGTCGGCTCCTTTCCACGCCCCGTAGCCTTCTTGGGCGTCGCGGCGACGGCAGTCTCAGTGGATTTCTGGAGTCACGGCAAAAGTTTGAGCGAGTGGTACGGTAGAATTGCACTAATAACTGGGGTAAAATTCAAGTTTTGCCTGATCTTTACCTTCTGCGGCTTGGCACTGTGGTTGCTGTTGTTACGGAGAGAGTTCTCGTCGAGCTCGGCCATGGGGTTGCGCCTGTACGGAGACTGCTCGTTCTTCCTGGACGAGCTCCGGCTGAGCACCGGCGTCGGCCCCGCCGCCGGTCCACCCCCAGCATTCTCATTCCCCGCCGCCATCCTCGCCGGAGAGCTCGACCTCGGAGACGCGCACCTCTTCCCCGACGCGGCCGCGGGCGACGGCGCGTGCCCCTTCTCCCTCGCGGGCACGGACACCATCTTCCCGGGCTGCTGCCTCGCGCGGTCTCCGCAGCCGGAGCCCGCCGTGGCCACAGAGGCCGCAGCGCCATCCGCGCGTCTCCCGGGCGACCGGCTGGCCCTCCGGCTCCCGCTCCCGCCGCCGCTCCTCTCCCGGCTGCCCGACCGCTTCCGCTGCGGCGAGCCCCGGTGCGGCGACGGCCTGGACACGGCCGCCGCGCCCTGTCTGTCCCAGTCGCACTCCTCGTCCCTGGCCTCCTGGTCGAAGTCGTAGCTGCGCTTGGACCCCGAGCGCCTCCTGCGGTGTCCGCCGCCGCCGTCTCCCGCCTCGCCGGATGACGCCGCCCTTCCGGCCCCGGACGAGCTCCTGCTGAGCCGGCCGCACTGGATCAGGATCGCGTCCACCTCCTCCTTGGTGCAGCTGGAGGTGCGCACCGGCGCCGAGGGCACCAGCACCACCGGCAGCTGCTTCGGCGCCGCCGGCTCTTGCGACCCCGACGACCGCTTCTTCTTCGGATCCTCCCCGGGCGCCGCGGCGGCGTCCTTGGCCGACGACCCCGGCCTCCCGACGAACACCGCCGCCTTGTTCGCCGTCGCCGCGGCCTCCCCCGCCGCCGCCGCCGCCCTCTTGGGCTGCTGCTGCTGCGGCGCCGGCTTCTTGGTCTTGTCGTCGGACACCACTACGGCGATCTTTCCGGGCTTGGCCGGTGGCTTCTTCTTGCTGAAGCAGAGGCCCATGGTGGTGGCAGGAGCTCCGGCTTGAGACTGCGACTCTGCGAGCGAGCTGGAGCTGTCGAGCTGGGAGTGAAAGAGTGCGTTGGACTGTGGCGTGGTGGTATTTAAGCACGCGTGGGGAGGCGCGATTAGCGAGATAATTATGTGTCGTGCTCTGTGTTAATACTCCGTAATCCGTACCGTGCACCTGCCATCCTGCCTGATGATCAAAGGCAAAGGCAAAGCTCATGCTGATGCTGATGGGGATTTCAAATCCTCTCTCGCGGATCGCCTGGAGGCTCGTGCGCGCGCACGCACGCACGTGGGGAGGCGGGAGCGACGTTGGCTGGTCACGGTGCTGTGAACCGACGGGTGGGACTGGAGGATGCCTCGGTGGATGGTCTACGAGGAATACGTCCGTAGGGGCTGGACCGGCGGCTCGGTGGGGACGCTATCCGTTACAAACATCGCGGGGCCTGGGTCTTGATTATCTCATCATCTCGTCTTCAAAAATGTTCAGGGGTTGCACACTTGCACCAGCATCAGAGACGCGTGTGCACTGCTTGCTAATGCTAGGTGACAACTTCATCTGGTACTGTGCTCTGCTAATCGTCATCGAGTCGGGGTAATGCACGGGAAAGCAATCGCAAGCGAGGAAGCTTTGCGAGATCGATGGAGGCCAATTTTGCAGCCCCCACGGCTGGTCAACCCAGTTACGCGCATACCAGCAGAAAGGTGAGGCACTGCCTTTGTTTGCGTTTCATACGTGCTGCCTCGTGCGGGGCCGGCACCGCGATTCAAATGCAGGCACGTTTGGTTTGAATCCGGCCAGCTCGACCTGGCGGTGGCTGCTGGCTGGTGCGTGCGCAAGCCTCACCTAACAACGGCCAACGGCTACGAGCGATCGGGGCGCGCAGATGCCACCGGATTCCTTTTGCCGTGCTGCAAGCCTGCGACGGCAGAGGGCTGACCGTTGCCATCTCTTCCCTTCACCGTCTGAACCCGAGTCGACCGTTGGAGGGGGAAGCGTGCGTGCGTGGCACGCGGATCAGCAGCGCGTCATCCTCGGCTTCTCACCATCGGATTCGCGCGCGCTCTCGGCTCTCCCGTCGACCGTCGTGTGGATTGGCAGCATCCATCCGCCTACGTTTATCCCGTCCGCAAGAGACGGGGGATCGGAACCGCAAAGCTTCGCGAATCCGCGGCCCGACCGAAGCAGGGACGGTAGTTTTCTTTTTGTTTTGGATCTGTCCAGTCACATTAAGTTAATTTGGCTATCCCTGTTAACTGAATTTTTTCATACACTTACACTATCATCTAGCTATATTTACACTCTTCTATTACTATATTTACACTGATTTCTTCGATGTAATATATAGGACAGAGTGGTGTAATTTGAGGATAACCTAAAATCTCAGACAAATATAAGCCAATTTTTTTAAAAAAAATTATAATTTTTTTCTATGATTCTAGATACCAGAGAAATATATGTCAAATTATTCACAAATATCGTCAAATTATTCACAAATATACAAATAGAAGAACGGATAGAGAGCAAAGAAGAACAAACACCCAAGAGCACATCTCATCTTCCAGCAGCAGAAAAGGGACAAAAAGCAGAGGACGGTGGCGCCCGCACCGGGGACACCCGCGCTGGGGACGCTCCACCCGCGTCCGCACCGGGGCAGCAGCGACGGCCTACCCGCCGGGGACGTCCACGTCGGGGCGACGGTGGCAGAGGAGCGGCGAAGGAGCCCGAGTAGATGCCGACAAGTGTAAGATCCAACAACGCAGAATTCGGTTGAGGGATGGACCAAAATCACTCAGTTGAGAGTTAGCATTTATGTTTGTTTTTTTATTCTTATTTTTTTCTTTCTTCCTTTTTCTTCCTTTTCTTTTCTATTTCTTTTTTCTTCTCTTTTCTTTTTTCTTTACGGGTTTCATTTTTTTCTTTTCTATTTCTTTTTGTTTTCTTCTTTTGCTTTTTTCTTTTTTTGCTTTTTTATTTTATTTTCTTATATCTTTTTATTTTTATTTTTTAATTTTTTAATTTTTTTGTTTCTTTTATTTCTTTTTTGTTTTCTTTTGTTTTCTGTCCTTTTCTTACTTATTTATTTATTTTCTTCATCTTTTTATTTTTTTCGTTTCATGTGATTTTTCATCATATTTTTCTTTTCTATATTTTTACTTGTTGTATTTTTTTGCTTTTACTATAATTAAGTATTATGTTTGTTTTATTTTATTCTTTTTCCTTTCCTCCTTTGTCTTTATGTTTTCTATGGATTTTTTATTTTTCTATTTTACCTTTTCTTAATGCGATGTTCTATGATGTTTGCGACGTTTACGTGGTATATAATGTCATGTTTTGTGATGTTTATATAGTATACATGCGATGTTCTATGAGTTTTTTCATGTTCGCGTATTATACAATGTTGTTCTATTCTGTGATGTTTGCGCAGTATACATGTGATGTTCTATTATATTTTTTGTGATGTTCACGTGTTATAAATGTGATGTTCTATGATGTTTTTTTATGTTTCCGTGGTATACATGTGATGTTCTATGATGTATTTTGGTATATATAATGTTATGTTATGTGATGTTTTTATGATGTTCATGTAGTATTCATGTGAGGTTCTATGTTTTCTTGTGATATTCATGTGTTATATATGCGATGTTCTGTGATGTTTTTTTATGTTCACGTGGTATAAATCAGATGTCCTGTTATTTTTTTATAAATAAAAAATCTTTTCATTTTTATATTTTATTTTATTTCTTTTTTTGTTTTTATATAATTAATTATTTTATGTTTTGTGATGTTCACGTAGTATATATGTGATGTTCTGTGATATATTTTATGATGTTCTATGATGTATTTTGTGACGTTCACATACTATACATATGATGTTCTATGTTATATTTAGTGATGTTCACGTAATATGTATGCGATGTTCTATGATGTATTTTGTGATGTTCACTTAGTATATGTCGGTGTTTCGGACCGAGGGGTCCTCAACCAACTAGTGAATTTGAACTACGTGCCCCTAATCCCGGATGGTGATGCAAAGAGACACAAAGTTTATACTGGTTCAAGCAATCGGTGCTCTACGTCCAGTCTGAGAGATCGATCTTGTATTCCTTACACGAAGTGCTTGTAGTAGGGGGTTACAAGCTGAGCAAGAGAGGGAACTAGCCCTAGGTCTCTACGTGGAGTGATGTGGGCTGTTTGAGACGTTGCTCTCAGACAGCAGGAGAGCGTGTGTCTGAATCTACGTGAGTCAAGTGCTCGTCTGACTTTCTTGTCTCTAGAAATAGTCCCGGTCTCTACTTTTATAGTTGAAGGAGGACAAAGGGGATACATGCGTTTGCTATGCAGCCTCGTGTGAGCGGAGGTGGCGTGCCTGAGTCCTGTAGCTTACCACTGTGGCGGCATGGTCAACGGAGTGGTCTTGTCCTTGATGCACTGGAGCAACGTGCCAGTCACACCTGATCCTGTGCGACGTGGGAGCCCCAGTGACAGCTTGGCGCAGGGTATGGCCGTCATCATGCCGGTCGCTGTGCGTTGACAGTGAAAAGAGCCGAGGCTCAGTTGGTGCCGAGGCCAAGCCATCGTGGGGGGTTTGGCGGGCGCAAATCCTGAGGCTGCCGAGGCCCTGAAGTGGATTGCCGAGGCTTTGAGGGAGCAGTTGATCCTATACACTGATTCCGAGGCTATAGTGACCCGGACTTGACTCCCCACGCCGCGCTGTTCTTGGAGCGGGAATTAGGTGGCACAAAGGCAAGACGGGCGCCATCATGGGCGCGATCTTTCGGTACGATGGGTGTAACCCCCTTTCGATTCATCTCCCATCCGTCGGCGCTCTCGCTTCATCGCGTCGCGACGTGTGGCTGACATTGCGGGAGTGGTTGGACGCGTGACGTTTTGTCAGAGAAGTCGGTCGAGACGGAGGTGACGAGGTTGTTGTCGAGCCGGCCTCGAGCGAGGCGGAGAATCGGTACTTCGTTCCGAGGCTTTATGCGTGGGGCCTCGGGCGAATCGGAGAATCGGTAACTCGTCCGAGGCCTAGCGGGGCGGGGCCTCGGTGAGAGGGCCCCGGCAAGGGGGCCTCGGCGAGAGGGCCTCGGCAAGGCGGAGGGTTGGCCTTTGCGGCGCAGGCCTTGGGCGAATCGGTGAATCAGCCGAGACCTCGTTGTTGTCCCTTGGCTTTGATTTTTGCAAGGTCTAAGCAATCTTTTCGGTTCTTGCTTAGGGTACCCCTTTTTATGGTATCCGACAGTAGCCCCCGAGCCACTCTCCCTGAGGTTTTGTCGAGATTCTGGCTTGCAGCGGCTCCTGTCGGGATTGTATTTTGTACTCGTGGTTCCGGTGGGTGCGCGCGAGCGCACCCACCGGGTGTAGCCCCCGAGGCCCTGGAGGAGTGGATTTACTCTTCTAGGGCCTTTTTCTCTGTTGAATAAGGAGTTTTATCGCGTTTGCCGGGCCCATGAGCGTGAATTCGGGTCGCTGGACCTTGGCTTAGTTGCAGGAAGAGCCCCCGAGCCTCTACACTGATCGAGAGGGCGATCAGTGGTTCCCCTGTCTTTTTTGGTGGCCCTCGCGCATCCTTTTCGTTTGGAAGGAGGGATGGAGCATGCCAAGCTACCCTCAGTGGGCGTGAGCAGTGACATCTCAGGTGAGCTGTTATCGGGTCAGTCCGAGTGGAGGCCCGTGCCCCATTCGATAGGGGTCGGCTAGTGGTCTAGAGACGCACTCCAAAAGTACCAGAGGGCTTCTCTAGTGGGTCCTAGGGTAGTTCGATTGGCCTTGGGGGCTCGGCGCCTCCCTACGGTGTGATCCCATTCGGAGACCTCCCTGCCGGTCTCGGACATGACTTAGGGCTTCCCAAGCACTTGCTTGCTTGGGCATTGGCCATGTACGGGCTTGCCCATAGTCATCCCTGACTCTATTTGTCCTGGGTGGTTGTCGAAACCTTTGGGAGGCCCAGCCTTTGAACCCCTAGATCGTAGCGGGCTCGGTGCCCTTT